TAACTCATTTCGTAGAAATTTTGTAGGGATACTACAGGTAGTGTACACGACGTGGATACATGGGACGATCGCAGCCCATATGGGCTGCCACGGTTGGTGCGGCAAAGAAGACAATTGTCCGTGGGATTCGCGAAACATGCAGTCGTCGCGAATGTTTAAATCGAAAGAATGGGCATAGGTTTCTCCTCGAACTTGACCGTCTCCATTCGTCCCTGTCGCGAGCCAAAGTAGTCCAGTGAATCGCACTTAAGGGGCACGGGGCATAACATTCCTTTCGTTCAAAGTTTTCGCGAAGAGGTCAGACCTTCTCGTTGGCGGCCGTCCTGGTGTTCGCTAGACGTCCCGAGGGATCCAGCCCGTAACCGCCCTGCTCCAATGGTCATCATTACAGGGTGGCTGAAAAGTACAGGACGCGCCGTTTGACGCTTGCTGGCACCCTGCCAATGGGTATTTTCAGAATCTTGTGGGACTGTTAGAAGGCTTGGGATCTGTACAAGAATCCACATAAGTCATTCGATTGACCGTTCGCCCGAACAGTCGCTATGAGAGTTTCTGCGCATCGACCCACTATCGAGAAGCTGCACAGAGAAGGTTTCGGGAGCTGCGACACTAGAAACGACTCGCTGTTCCCTCTCCAACCGTACGGAATGTTGCCGCTGCTCTCAGAAATCACGAGCCTCTGCGATGCCAAAAAGGGGACGACCGAGAACAGTGAACCCACCGAGGATTCGTGACACCACCAAGAAGAGGATCACCCGCAACCATGGAGTCAACATGAATCGGATTGTATCTGACCTCAACATAGTCAAACGATCCAGAAAATTGCGGCCTCAAGCTGAAAAATTATCGGAGGACAGTTTCTTTAAGAGCAGTCCAAGCAAAGTCGACTGATAAAATGCAAAAAACTTTTTCGAGAGCTCAGTGCGCGCCGCATCTCTAACGTGATCTGGACCAATGTGAAAATTTTTACCGCAGGTTACTATCCATTCCGTCAAAACCAGAGAAAGTTGTTGTCGAAAGCTGACACCAGATCCCCAAAACGTTGTCTTGTGCACAGCAGGCTATCTTCCAAAAGTGTTATGGTTTGGGCCGTGGTGACATCAGAAAGCAAAATACCTTTGGTCCTCAACGACAGAAATGTGAAGATCAACTCCGAGGTCCACCAAAAGGTAGTTTTAATGGACGCTCTGCTACTCTGGGTCACTGAACACTTTCATAACCGATCATTCGTCCACCAGCAAGATTGGGCCTCTCCTCATGCCTCGAAGTCGACAAAAGCCGTACTGGACGCGCACTTCCCCGGTTACTGAGGTAAAGACATTTGACCTTCCTCTCCACAAAATCTCAATTCAATGGACTTCTCTGTATGGGAGTACTTGAAGAGTGAAATTGCAGGACGCTCCTACCGCACGTTTGACGCTCAGAAGTTGGCGCTCCAGAAGGCGTGGGACGATATTGACGTCGACTACCTGCGGCGTACGGTCGATTAAGTCATCGAGAGTCTGAAGGCCTGTGTAAGAGCAAAAGGACCGAACTTTGAACACCTGCTCTCCTAAGTGATCTTGTAGTTCTACTCTATTCCTCATTAAGTTTATTTGTCGCTCTGGTCTCTACCTTTGAAGTTACAATGTGGCGTCCTATACTTTTCAGCCACCCTGTATATCGCATAACGTGTCCGGCCCACCTGATCTTCGATCTCTTGGCGTAGTCAACCGCATCTCTGATCTTCATTCGTCGACGTAGCTCGAAAGTCCGGATTCTATTCTGCACTTTCATGTACGGGGAAATTCCGAGTGTCTTCTTTTCCACAGCGCATTGAATGACGCTAACTGCATGCTCATCCTGCTTTCGTAGAGTCCAAGTCTCTAAGGTGTATGTTAAAGCAGGAAGGACCGCAGTGTCAAAAAGGTGAGTGCGCAGCCCGATGTTCTTCGTTTTCTTCACTACTTCCTCGATGTTCTTGAATGCTCCCCACGCCGCGCGTTTCCGTCTGTTCAGCTCCGGAACTGGTCCTTCATCATGTTGACTTCCCGACCTAATACACAAAGCTGGAGCATTCAGTGTTACTCCTTCCGTTCAACGTGAAAGGAGCATCAGGTATCGTTCCGTTCCTCATGAACATCGTCGTCTTTAATTTCAGCCTCAAGCCGATTTATCCCTAAGCGTTGTCGAATTCGACCAGCAATTGTTCTGCCTACTGGATGTTGGGTGTTATAGGCACGATGTCATCTGCAAAGCGGAGATGGTGTGAGTAGCGACCGTCGACCTTCACTCCAAAGTCTTCCTATTCCATATGGCGCATGACGTTCTCGAGAGCGGCACTGAAAAGTTTGGGCGAGATGGTATCGCCCTATCGAACCCCTCTCTTCACGTTGATGATGACATCTTTATAGAATGGTGGGACCCTGGTCGTGAAGCTGTCGTAGAGCTCACGAAGCATCCTCATATATTGCGTAGGAACACTCTGGTTGCCCAGGGCTTCAATTACCGCTTCTGTCTCAACGGTATCAAAGGCTTTCTTCGAATCGATGAACGTAAGACATAACGGCATTTTGTACTCCCGCGATACTTCAATGGGTCTTGTAACGGTGTGGATTTGATAGATTGTACTGGACCCTCTTCGAAACCCTGCTTGCTCGCATGGCTACCCTTCTTCTAATATTCTGCCAATCCTCTTAAGGATGACTCGTGTGAAGAGTTTATAGATTACAGACAGCAGGCAAATTGGGCGATAATTGCCAATGTCGCCTGGATCTCCCTTCTTATATAGCAACACGGTCTTGCTGGCTTTCCACGAAGTGGGCACTTTGCATTGCGACAGCTACCGCGCAAAAAGCCGGGCCAGGGTTTTGACAATGACTGGCGGAAGGCTCTTTAGATGTTCTGGTTTGATTCTATCAAAACCGGGCGCTATACAGTTCCTCATTGACGTGATGGCATGTCGAATTTCAGAAGGGAGAACTGAAGGGACGACGTATCCGTCTTGCCTAAAATGGTAGGTAGGCAGGCAGACGTGACTGTCGAAGAGATCAGAGTAGAAGACGTAGATGACCTTCTCCATCACCCTTCGTAACAGTAACAGTTCCGACAGAACGACGAAGGAAAGTCATCTTGGTCTTATAATTGACGAAGCTCCGGCGGGCCTTGCGAATGCTCTTCCCAGCCTTAGCGGCTTCATCCAAAACTGCTCCACTTCTCTCATTCAGGTCTTCCTTTATCGCTCCTCTGCATTGCTTCGCAAGTTGGGACGTTAGCTGGTTATTGCCTGAAGCTCGCGCGATTCTACGCTGGTGTATCAGCTCAAGAGTCTTCGAGAGAGACGTTTCTTGACATCTTTGAGACTCTCAGCTCTCCTGGCGCAATCGTGAAGATGTTCGACGAGCCGATAGTATTCTTCATCGATGTTCTCGCTGACGGAATCTTCCCACAAACTCGTCAATGAAGGGAAGTGATCCCAATTGACCACAGTCTTAATGCTTCATTACATAAATTTCGCAGCTATCTCTCCACGCACTGAAAAGCGGAATCTAGCGTTTAGGGGACGATGGTCTGATCCCGTGTAGAACTTCGGAACAACAGCGACGTCAGTCGGGCAAAACTTTCGATTGCCGATGATGTGGTCTATTTCATTATAGAACTGCCCACCAGATGACTCCCATGTCCATCGGAAATGAGAGGGCTTCTGGAACTGCAAGTTACCATGGATAGTGTGGGTCGACATGATAAACTCGGATAGCCTTTCATCCTGCTCATTCCATTCCACTCCGCGAGTCCCGATGTGGAGCTGTTCAGCCAACCTTGAAGAAAGTGTGGTCTTCTCTGTAGAGCTTCTCCAGGTCCATATAGAACGCCACCAGCTCCTCTTCATCGTAGATCGATGTTTCATCGTAGATCGATGTTGTCACGTAAGCAACGAAAATTGTCAGAGCTGGGGTCGAGCCACATATTAGCTGGGGTCGAGCCACATATTCTCAATCCCATACATATGATTCGGGTTGTCGAGCTTTCGTACGAATCAATGTTCATGGCCAAGTGCGTGTTGACAAGGACACCTACACCGCCGACGCCTCTGCTGTCGCATGTTCCAGTAAACAGTTCTTCTCCAGTTTCAAATACAGCGTGCAGCTTCTCGTCTCGGTCAGTCCGATGACGTCGTACTTGATTTTCCTTGCTTGCATCATCATGTCTTCTATACACGCTTCCGATGCAAGCGTCCGTGCGTTGAAAGTACAGATGGCCATTTTAGTACTTCTCTTTTTGGGCAGCCTGTTTTGGCCCTGAGATTTTAGCAGCCTCTCCCGAGCAGTCCTACCCAACGCCGTATTGGGGGCTCCCTCAAGTTCAGAGGAATGAGGCCCATTTCTGTTACTGTTTTTGACATGAATATCCACGCGTGACTTGCCAGGATATAACACGTGGGGGCCCTGCTCTTAGCCGTGTGCACATGCCGTTAATTTATATACATATATATTTTTTTATAAATATAATTGAATGGATAATGAAAGCTCCAAGCAAAGTTACCATCGAACAGTAGAAAAATGCTGGCGAGAGCTTTCGGACCATGCAACATCTGATGGTCAAAACGAAAGCATGTGGCAGGGCAACAGGTTGCCTCTCTTTTAGTAGGTAGATATTTCCACAAGCTAGTACTTGTCCTTAGTCCAAAACGCAGTGATTTAGACGTAATATTTCGGGGCTTGCCGTGTGCAACTTAATGCGTGAAGAGCGAATGCAACCACGACTTTACATGGCTGATTTTGTGAAGGGAGTTGAGGTGTTCTTTCCGTCCCTATTAACCCGCTCTCGTAAACTTCTACGTGCTTCTGCAGTGACGACAATCGCTGGTGACTGACCAAGTGCAAAGTTGTTGCTGTAGTTCATCATGTACTTTTCAAACTGTAAGGTTGCTGCTGTCATTAATAATGTGAGTGTCAAAAACTTGAACCGATATTTGGAACGAATCATTTATAACAACTAAAATGACACTAGTATTGCTTTTTTCAGGCACAAACAAAGTGTTTGTTGACGATCTTTCTCACGTAAGGAGCACAGCAGGTGGTCCTCGGGAATGTGCAGACAGTTGATGCACAAGCCTGATGTGCTTTGAATGGTCCACTAAAATCAGACAGTTAACAAGGCTTGATTCAACCAACCCGAAATGTATGATGAATGAGAGGCTTCCTCGACAGAAAAAAGTAGTTTCAGTATGCGAAGCCCTTGCTTATCAATCGATGGAGTCGATAAACGAGCCGCTGGCGGACAAATGAGATGACAATGAGCCAGAATTCCCAGGATTAAACGTACGTGCACTGGCATCCCGAAGGCCAACAGTAACGGTGAGAAGCTATGACACCACACATTCCACAGGTATCGTTACAAGAAGCACCCGTATTTGGCATCCACTGTGTCCAAGTTCCGTCACATTGTACAGGCTGCATGATTTTATTGAAAGTTCACAGATAATGGCGGAAAATCTCGTGCATACCGTATTAGGTTGACAGAAAATGGCACCGTCATAGCCTATCGTCGGATAACCCTTACAGCAAACTGGTCCATTCGTGCAGGCCGCTTGATCACAATTCCTCGATTCGGTATTGCTTCCACTTACAACAACAATTGAACAGCGTTAATCGAATGGAGAGGTTGATCGGGCAAGACGAAACTCACGTGCACTCACAACCGTATAAAGCTGACGCACAAGTGCGATTACGCGCTTGGGTACCACAAAGGCCACAATTGGCACTGCATGCAGACCATTCAGTCCATTCGTTCCAGAGCCCCTTCTTCTCTAAACTCTTCTTCTTTCTCTACAGAAGCATTGCTGCTCAGGTTGTGGACATACCTGGATCGCAACAGGTCGTCTGATCAGGATTGAACGGAAGCTCCCCTGGCAGAGGTCCGCAGTAAAATGTCTTGCTGGCAAGATCTGCTTTCTTTGTATAGCCGACACAACACGTGGCCCTCGGGAAGGTGCACACTTTTGTCCCGCAGACTTGGTATTCCACAGCATTCCCTCTAGATCAATACAGCTCACACAATGTATACTAACCGATATTGCTGCCACTCACGTGCAAGGGCATCCATAATTTAGAGAAAGACATTTTCTAGATTGTACACGTGTTCCACATGAACCGCAAGTGTCGTTACAGGGTACGATGATACTCCATTCACCCCAGATTCCTGAAAAGTTGCGTTCCTTAGGAAGAATGGGTACAAACTATACCCATGACAATAAACCAGAGTACGATTAGTTTTTTTTCTGGCTATTTACATTTCCAGTATGCTACTTGTTTCAACCATGGGACAGTTTTGTAACTGTTTCTTTTGTACTTCGCTTTAATGTTTACTTTTATCTTATATTCTGCCACAGTTTTCCACTTATTTTGAGTATGAGCTTTTTGGAGTTCTTGACAGGTCTTACAGATTCGCTCCTTATTGCTGGTCGTCACTGGTCTAGTCACTGCGTTTCTTGGCAACAATCGCAGCCATATATGGTGTATTGAAACTTTACGATGACTACTGTAACCTCTACGTCTTCTGCAGCTGTCCACCGTGAAAATAAGCAAGCTCGACTCATTTCATGTGGATTGCAGTGTCTGCCGTCTGCTTGAACAACTAGGTATTCATAGACTTACTCCTTTCTCTTGACATTAACTGGCTCCGTTACAGGATAGCAAAAAAAAAAAAAAAAACAGTTGCATCCCGCTTGCATCCCACTGTTTTATTTTGGAAGCGAAAATCCCCAGTTTGATAGCTTAATAAAACTACATTGGTTGTTTCATGACATTCATGAAATTCGACCACTCCTAGCATTTACACGACACATCATCCTTGTCCGGTGAATGGTACAGGTATAGTCCCGATAACTAGAACCTCATCTTTTCCGTGTAGTAGTTTTTGTCCTGTGTCTTAGTTTTTAAATGATAATCCATTCCCACCGAATTGACGGTCACAGCATCATTAAGGTATGTACGTAAAAGATTAGCAATTCACCATTTGATGGGCAGCAGTCCACTCCACAGGTGTTGATGGAAGAGTCTTCTTCGACGGCCTGCTGAAATTTAAGAATTATGTCGTTTAAAGCACAGACGGTCGGAAGTACCGATGTTTAATCAAAGTTTTGATGCATAATAATGAAAAAAACGGCGAAGAAATGGCAAAGGTATGCGAGTTTCCAGGAATATACTGCTTAAAAATGAAGTAGGGAGGGGGATTGTGCCAGGCTACGTGTATTAGAGGCACAGTTCACGATAAATCTGGTTAATCCATATTATGACGAAAAATGGAAGATGGAAAATAGTGCGATGAAGGAGAAGAAACTGAGTGAATCGGTGTTACCAAAAAGAAAAAAGGCGTCGAAAAATCGTTAAAAACGGGGCTGTACGAGAATGAGAACAGAAAAAATGTAGAAGAATGGGGAGTTTGGACGAGCTATACAATGTGTGTCATTGGGTACGTGTGGCTCCAGATGCGATTAGCGGTGAGCGGAAATTCATACTCATAGGCATAACTTAACAACAAAAAACCATAGTAACAGCAAAAATTGTCCACCTTCTCCAGCCTCTTGAGGTAGGAAATTTGAATATGGATCGCAGAGAGGAAAGAATAACAGAGAAAAAAAGAATGGGATGAAAACAACGCCTCATAACTCGGCGACCAGCTGATTGTGTGTGGGTCCTAGAACGAATATTGCAATCTGTATCGCCTCGACACTCGTCTGACGTGACATCGATCGAGGGGCGGGAAGTCCGGGCTTCCTATGCCCTAGCTGTGGACTCGACAGCGTCCTTCCTGTTACCCTTGAGGGCCACCGGATATCCCTAGAAGGAGAACTCAGAAACCATTTTTACCGTGAACTAAGCCTTAAAGCCTTCCGAGGGTCTTTTACGCAAGAGTGCGACTAAGAGAAAGTAAAACTATAGTCTGCCTAATGTCACATTTGTTATTTTAGTTCAGCCCATAAATAATTAGGGCATAAAGATTTTCGGATGGAACTGTTATCATACTACACTCTTTCGTGTGACTGTGATTTGAGAATGAAAAGCAAACCACTTCACCAGTGGCCCACAAGTATGTCGTCCATTGATGACCATTGATTCGAAACCTGGACAACACGATAAACGAGGGAAGTTGCATGTATCCGTTTTACAGGGAGTTGATATCGTTGAAGCTCCGCTGTAAAAAAACTCTCGAACCAACTTTAAGACATATTTATTTCAGACATGATTTTAGAGACATACGTGCAGGGACAGCCATTAGTTTCTGACAAGCAAGTCCTGACTTTCGTTGTATTTCCGCATGATCCACAGTAATCTGAGCATTCATTTGGTGTTACTGTCCATTCTGACCATATTCCGTTATCAGGACAACACGTATTGTTACAGAATGGATCAACCGCTACGAGGGGAGTTGTGTAGTTGGGCTAAAATTTACTGATTGGAAAAGTTTCATCTATAGCAGGAGTTGGTACCTGAGGCCCACATGTATGTTTTCCATCTATAAGCGTTGACGAATACGGTGAACAGCAGGAATCTCTTGGAAAGTTGCAGACTCCAGTGTTACAGTTTTTTTGTCGTGTTGCGGGGCCTCTTAAACGAGTATCCGTATTGATGGCACATCATTGTTCATTATGTTTTCGAAGGGTCCTTTATGAATTGAAAACAAGCATGATGGTGTGGAATAGGGAGTCGGTGGCAAACTATGTAAGCGAAAAACCATTACAATCCGCGAAATGGAGACCGTCTTCACAGTAGTGGAAGTTGGGTTTAAACGAGTCTATTATGAAGAAAGGGACAGCTCTATTCGTGCGTAACTGAGTAAAGAGCTGGAATCAGTAAGCCAAAAATAAAAGAATTCTTTCGCAGCCACGGATCATTACTATTTGTCACAATTTTCTGCATATGAGCTCCGTTGTGTAAGATACCTCTACAACTCCGCTGAAACGTGTTCGGCTTAAACGAAGCCAGACTTTCTATTTTCAAGTTTTTTTCAATTTCCTGTTCCCACTCCACTGAGGCCTATCCTCACAGAAATCACGAAACTCAGAAAGATTGTAGTTTGGCACGGGTTACGATCTCGAAAACACTCATTCCTCGTCTAAGGCATTCGACTTGTTGCATTCAAATCCGCCTCTCGCAGCTGCGCAGAACGTAAATGCACAACGAGATCATGAGTTGCAAACTGGGTACATTAAACTTATCTGAGAGGTACCACGTGACTTATTTGGCTTATTTACCTAAACACCCAAGTTTAAGTATCCAGTGGCGCTGTTAGTGTGAATGGGTAATGTAAAGGTTGATCTCAAAATATCTGAGTTCAGGCTACATCAGCTCATCTAGAAGCCGTTAAAGGTGTAGCCGTCAGCAACATGTTGACAACGGCAACAAGTGACAAGTGTCTGTATGGGTGAAGCTCATGAACCACGGGGTACAACTTGTGAGATAGCTGCTGTGAAAACGGTTATACGGTGTCACAAGGTTGTAAAAAAGGGTTGCTCTGATACGCAATTTGCTACGCCCCAAAATAAACCACCACTATGTTTTCCCTTCATCTCTGATGAAGTTAGCAATGTGATACAGTGGAGCAATTTCAGAGCTAGGCTGCAAGATGTCGTCAAATTAGTGGATATCTAGAAACAACGTTAAGCAGCTATCAGTCCGGAACAGGCTCTACGATAAACATTTGAGGCAAATATTGCATGATATGCCCCTACGGAAAAATAGGTGATTGTGCACTGATAGGCGTGATGTATTGGGTGGAATGCCGATATCATTCCTTGATCAACGTCATTATGTGGGGCAACATACATCGGAGAAATCGGAAGACAACTGGGCATACGAATCAAAGAGCATCTAGCTATTATGTGGGAGTGAAATGCACGATACTAGCACAGGTGACGAAGATTTCAGCGAAAAAGGTAATAGAAGCGTTTCGGATTCTTTGAAGAAATTCTGAAATGAATGGATGAGTGAGTCCATAATCAACGATCTTCTATCCTATACACTGCACTGCGAGCTGTGACTCAGTAGCACTATAACGTGATCTTCCATATACGAGTATAACGGAGACAGCAAGAAGTCTCATTCGTTATTGACAGTCGCCTGAGGCGACAGCGGATTTCTGCTTGCTTGGAGGCACAGTTCGCGATAATTCAAGGTATGTCAATGACGTGTCCGCCTCTCATTCGATGTCACGTCAGACAGTCTGTCGTGACATCGAATGAGAGGCGGACACGTCAGTGACATACCCGCCCATTGAATTATTGCGAACTGTGCCTTTGAGCGGTGGGACCTTGATGAGTGCTTTAAATTGTGTATTTAGTTGTCGTCACATTTGTCAGGAAGAATAATTAGGATTTTGAATATTGTGCAAATCATCTAGAGTTCCATTTAGGCCTCTGAAGTTGAAGTTGCGAAAAGTTGTCGAAACGTTAGACTGCTTATTTAATAAATTGTTCCAACCAACAACCTAGCAGGGTACAAGAATATACTTATCAGAATTTTATTTGTAATGCAAGTGTGAAAAGCATTCTGAACAGAAGTGGAATCAGGGTGTTATTCCCGCACTAGATTTCTTGATCGAGAACTTCATGTACAATATCAGAGAGATCGTTTCTAAAGGATATTGTATGCTCTGATACTATCTCTGAGACTAGACAACAAACTTTGTAGTTGAGAATCGGTGAATCTTACGCCTGCCGAACTCCACTGGTAATGTCAATATTACCTGCATAAGCAGCCGTGTTGTTCCGTCAAGCAGGTTCGCGATTGCGTAACTTGACCACACGAACCGCAAATATCGCTACATGCACCTCCCTCCGTCCATTCAGACCAGTACCCTCCCGTGCTTGGGCAGCAGGTCCAGCACGTATTTGACGGCGAGGGACTTGTCTCATCCTATAATACGAATTCCAAGCAGCATTGGTATGGGGGACGAATAGATGGATCCTACTTATAAGGTGACCTTCGGTATTGAGTTTTCTTTGCATATAACGTTTAAGTACTCACAGCAGCACTCACAAGCACTCACAAGTCAAAGTTCGAAGCACTTACCAGTCAAAGTTTGGACACATTTCATTGATAAGCAGCACACGGGTCATCAGGCCATCAAGCAACAGAGTAAAATATGCGAAATTACTCACGTTGCTAGAACATTGCCAATGTTTATCGGACGCCAATTCTACCGTTCGATTTCCACAACAAGATGCACGCGGGAAGACACACGGAGTTGATGCGCACTCAGACTGCTTAGTGCTTGGTCCCCTAAATTATAAATGGTGCTGAGGATTGGTATAACTGTATAACGTAGAAATAAGTTAGGTGTCACATACGAGCAAGGGCATCCGAACTGTTCAGATATGCAACCTCTTGTGCGTGTTGTCGTTCCACAGTGTCCGCAAGTATCTGAACAAGCGCTCCCGCTCGACCATTCCGTCCATAGGCCTCCTATCGCACAGCACGTCCTATTCTCGCATTTCATCAGAGGTTTCACTGAGGGTGGATTCATCTGAAACAACGGGAAGGCTTTTATTTCTTCATAGTTCATTATGAACATCTTACAAGTGGTCCACAAATTTTGAGTCCATTCTGGTTCATTTCATCGAATCCTGAGCAACATTTTGTAGTAGAATTTGCACAGGGAGCGGTATTACATATAGTATGCATTTCATCGGCTCCTCTGCAATAATACAGTGGCAAGATGTAGGCCTGGGAATGAAGAATAACAGTACATGCAACTGCATCCTCCTTCCGCATTGCAAATACGAGTTTTCCTCTGGAACTGACAAGAACCACATGCACTAGCGTTACAGGGTGTAGCAATCTGTTATGAACGAATGCTAATCAACTTCGGGCAAACTCTTTTTGTGTAAAATCCTACCGTCCATTCACTCCACGTCCCCAACACTATGCAACTCTGGGTTTCAGTGTTGTTACCTATGCACGAACAACCGTAAGAATCCGAAGCGCATTTGCGAGTTCTGGTGGCAGATCCACACTGAAAAATCCTTCATTCTTACATNATGTTGTCGAATTTGATGAATTATTTTTTGGCAGGAGGTTGACTTAGAACACTGCACAGTACACAGCTATACTATTTAGTCATGAATTCATTTGATCATAGATGAATACATATATTATATAAGGCTGAGCAATGATATTACATTTCGATAGAAGGAGCAGTCTTAGTAATGTACGGTTGTGTCTCCACTTGGGCTAGCACGTGAATCAGAGTGCGTCTAATCTTGTGGGGTCGATACTACTTTCATTTTGGCAGTTTAGACAACAATCTTAGACATACCCTGAAACAGCTGGCTCCAGTGCAGCCGCTCCATTCATCCCATTCAGCCCAGAAACCATCCGTTGGACAACAAGATGTATCAACAAGAGGTTCCGTAAAGTTGGGCGGCTAGAAAGGGAGTTTTTCTGAATTTAATAACGTATGGCAGAAGAATATACTTCAACAATCACCTGTGGTCCACAGGCATTCCTTCCATTAACTAATGTGGAAGTATAGGGGGTGCAACAGGATAAACGTGGGAAGGAACATGTGCCAATATTGCAGTTCTCTACCTTGACATAACTTCCACTGAAATCAACAAAGATCAATGAAAAAGTGGATATTAATTCGAACGTTATTCTCTGAAAGGAGAGGAGTAGTAAGACTTTATTAAAATTGCTAAAACTCGAACGTTCAGCGTGTTTCTGTTTAGATAAGTCGACTGTCTACCAAAAGAAATTCTCCGCTAAGCGGAGAGTCGAAATAGGAACGCCTTCTTGTTGCAATACATTCTTTCTTTTTCCAGAATTTCCTGGTATCAGATAACGTAAGAAAGTTGGTGCCTGTGGATTGATGTTACGACATTTCTGCCATTATATAAAAAATTCTGCAATGTCACTCTACTAGTCGGTAATTATCTATTCGTCCGTAATAACTGCTCATTTCCCTTGCTCTCAGCCTCCTTGAATTCCTTCGCCTGCAACCTACAATTGGTGCTAGCTATTTACGTTACACATTGTTCGGAAGGCAGACATTGAAGCGACTGTCACAGGACGCGGCGCTAGCAGACCTAGAGCAGAGATGATGATGATAGATTATAACTGCGCGCATCAACATGGGTATGTGTCAAATCGTGCGTCCGAGGATGCGCGCGGCAAATTGCGCGGCGAAGTTCGTGGAGAATTTGGACGACTCCGGCGCCTATCATTGGGGCCCAAATCTGAAGTAAAGTAAATTAGAAGGATAATCTAACCCTGCTAAACTAGTCTACTTTGAGTTTGTGCCCCGAAAATTGGTGTCAGAGACGTTTAAATCGTCACGAAGTTCGCCGCACAATTTGCCGCGCGCGTCCTCGGACGCACGACTTGACCGTCCCCCCATCAACATACCTCCAGGCAATTCTATGAATTGGCAGTTATCATGATAATCTATCTACTATGCCCACACTGAAATACGATTTAGGAGACAACAAGTTGATCATCACAGAACTCACACGCAAGGACATCCACCTTCTTCAGATTGGCATTTGCGGCGATACGTCAGCTGAGCACATGAGCCACAGGTGTCAGCGCACCTCTCATCCGTCGCCCATTGGCTCCACAAACCTGACTTAGGACAGCATGCGGGTCGAATAGTTGTCGAAAGAGCTGGAATCAAAATCATTTCACCCTTTGTGCCTTATATCGGAGATTTCCTCCGATAATGTTTTGCTTACTAACCAAATTCTAAGTATGATGTAAGTGCGATCTCGTAGGATGAAATATAAGAACAGATATACAACAGCCAATAATTGTTACACGGAGCTACTGTTTTGAGATTGAAATGCAAGGTGAACTGTTGAAACGGTTGTGTTCACGCGCGGAGATGATGAGGTCGTCTCGTGTGAAGGGTGGGGCTCACGGCGGCGCGGTGCCGTAGACGAAACGCGACATAACATCATTTCTACTATAATAATGAGAAAAACAAAGGAAAGCTATAAAAGGCAAGTAAAAAAGTACACTAACTATACACATTTGCAGAAAGACATTTTCATTTATTTGGCGGTGCTCCGAATATATCAATCGGGGACACTGTTGCCGTGTTTTGCAGCTCATTGAGTTTTGAGGTATCTGCATTCACCAGGATTGGAACATTTTGAACTTATTTCTATTTTGAACGTTTGACAAGTAGATTGTTGAACTATGAAACAGATCTCAACGTAGGAGGGTAGAACATGCGTGTGGGCGTGTCCGCTTTCACCACTCCTATTTAATTAATAAAAACCACGGGCTTTTGTAGTTTTTTATAGTATCTCATCATGTGCTCTGATGAAAAGTCCCGGCATTCCAGTTACGCGAGGCTTTATATTGACCGGCTTGCCTCTTCGCGGTCGAAGCTGTGGTTAGGCAGCTGTCGAGGATCTGGAGGGATGAGTGCCGCCTTGCTTAAGTACCCCCTTATCGGTTGCCCGAGATTGCGATTGAATTCTTTTTTCTCGCTTTAAGTTGTACACAAAAACCCCGGTACATTACGTCAAGAACACTGCGTTCTGGACTAAGGACAAGGATTCGCTCGGGGAAATATTTACCTACCAAAAGGGAGGGTTGATTTTGTCTTACCATCAATTATCGGCTTGTACGGTCCAAAAGCTCTCGCCAACGTTTTTCTACTGTTCGGTGGAATTTTGCTTGGAGCTTTCATTACTCTTTCAATTGTATTTATATATGGAGGATATATGTATATAACTTCAATGGCATGTCCGCACAGCTAACAGTGAGCCCCTTACGTGTTGGAGCTGGCAAACTATAAGTGGATATTTATACGCTGAAAACAGTGATGTGCCTCATTCCCCTGGAGCTGAGGGAGCCCCGATACGCCGACGATGGGTAGGATCGCTCGGGAAAGGCTGCTTAAATCTCAGGGTTATGATGACGATATGTACTTTCAATGCATACGACAGCAGAGGCGTCGGCGGTATAGGTGTCCTCGTCAACTTGCACTTGGCCATGATCATCGATTCGTACGAAAGCTTGACAACCCGAATCATACGTATGAGATTGAGAATATGTGGCTCGACCCCAGCTCTAACAATCTTCGTTGTTTACGCACCAACATCGAGCTAGGGCGGAGAAGAGCAGAAGGTTTTTTATATAGATCTGAAGAGACTCTACAGAGGAGATCATCGTTTCTTTAAAGGCACCGTTTACGATAAATTTAGAGTTGTGAGATCATAGCAGTCATACGGTACGTCCCGCCGGAAGAGCACCTTTCACGCGGGAAGGTCTCGATCGGGCGGGACGTACCCTAGAAACGGCCGATCCCCGGTGCTGAGTCGTCTTTTTTT